GACTGAAAGTGGAGCTTCAGCCGGGGCAGCAGAGGTTGCAAGGACAGCCACGGAGGGTTCGACAACCTTATCCCTGAGGACCACCCCAGTTGGAATTGTTGTCTATCTTAAGGCCGCGGGTTGCCCCGCCACGGTGGCCCCCTTTTAAGAGCCCGCAGCCTTTTTGCCCTTCCTCAGTAAATTCATCTCAGGGTCTTCTTCGACCTCTTCATCCCTCGAAGGCTGAAGCCTCTTACTGGCATTGACTAGATCCTCCATTTGCTTCTTGTAGGCAGATGATGAGGTCTTCAAGGTTCTCACCTCAGCCATCATCTTCTGAATTGTCTTAAAGTCGGGCATCAAAGGCTTCTTCTTGTTCAAGTTATCTACAAGGGAACAAACAAATTATTACAAAGTATGAAGAGGTCGAAAAACCCACGCGACATTTCCACTTCGTAAATTTACCTTGGAAAGCCATCAGATCATGTGTTACGAAATGAATGTTTTTCATGATCAGCACGTGATATGACCTCTTCTTCGAGAGCAACTGGTAGACGATGCAAATTATGTCGAAATCGTCTGTCAATATCTCACACCGAGGAAGGGTACCTTCAAAACAAAAAGCAAAGAACATTTAGGATCTGAACCGAAGAAAAATAAATAAAATTGCAGGGCAACAGTACTCACTAAGTGTGGAATACTTCATGGGGACCGTAAGAGGTGCTAGGGGGTCCCCCTCCATCGTGTCCCATCTCCCGACAGCCCAGCACCACGAGCTCTTCCATTCTTTAATGGAGCTCGACAGATCGAGCACGAATGGAATATGGGAACCCCATGAGGTTAAATAATATCACAACTAAGTCTTGTCCCTTCCAGCTGCTACCTTAGGAATGTATAGGGTCTGAAAAATCGAGAAGGGCATCTCCACCCCTAGCGACGCCTCCTTCCATAACATCCAGGACCCCACCATTTGGCTCCAGGAGTTCGGGTTCAGACCTCAGCACTAGCCTAAAGAAGGGATGGAGGAGGAGCTTAAGTCCAGCCCTAAAAACTAAAAAGTGCCTCACTCATGGCCACACACCCCGGCCTAGGATAGCAGGCCCTCTCATCAGGCTCCGATCATATCAGTTCTACACTATCAAAAATTCTTTATTCAGCCTTAAGTCTACCCAGATCGGCCTCTTTCAATTTCGACGGGAAATCTGAAGCCCCCCAGTGTTCTGATGTATCTACTGGGCTGTCAGGCCATCTCCAAATATTCCCCCCCCC